TGCTCTTTGTGAATACATCTTCATTTACTTAGAACAACAGAAGCAGGACCCAAGTCTAGGAATAACAATGCTATTGAGCAGGTTTTTAGAATAGGAACCTCAATACTGAAGTAGATACAAGCAGAAGTGAGGGTTAAAATATTTACCAACTCATATGAATAAGAAGTGCCACAAGAAGTATTGGAGCTGGGTACTAAAGGCCCGTTGTCTGTGCAGTTGCTGGATCATAGTAAGATACGCAAGTCCAAAGGGAGGAGCCCGAGGGGCCAGGGTACCTGTGGTGGGAGGAGTTGGAGAGTTGGGGGTAGCAGCTTCATACGAATTGACACGGAAATATCCCAGCATGTGTTATAATCAGTAGAGGCACGCTGGTATGGCAACCAAATAGCAGTCTCGGATACAAGATTCAGACTAGCTTATGTACAAGCCAAGCAAGCAGAACTATCAGCATAGTTTATCAAGAGCTACATGCTTATGAGTTTCATGACCTTAAAATTAGACCGTGATGACTTACTTTTTTGCTCTTTCATTCTAGGTCAGCTGGACTGTAACCTCAGTGAAAAACAGTAATTGTGGAAATTGTATTCACCTATCACAGTGCTCAATAAATAGTTGTTTAACGAATAAATAGCCAGTCAATTTCTTCTAGTATCTGGAGTGTCCTGAGGATATGTCTATTCAGAGGAGCAAAAGCTCTGAGAATTCATTCTGATCTTGAACTGACCTTGGATGTCTGCTCCAGGCTCAAGCTGGTCCCATATCATTTGACCCCTTAGATATCAATTCTTAAGCCTCACCTAAAGAAAAGAATACAAGGATGCTCTACAATTAAATGATGTCCCTAAAGTGGCGCTGAACCCTTAAAGGAGATGGGCAGAACTGCACAAGTTTTCAGAATCCTGAGCTGTAGCTTAAATTTTTTCAATTCTACTCAAATTCTTTTCTGTAGATATCGGTCCAAGTTTACAATTGTAGAGAGAAATAAATTTCAGGAAATAGGTTACCTATGAACTTCAGTCATTTAAGGTCTCATGACAATTTAGGTCTCATGATGAAGTGCCTGTATTCATTTGAGGAAGTGAAAACCAGAACTACATTGCAATTCTGTAACCTATAAACTTCCCATCTTTAAAGAGAAATAGCAGAACAATTCAAATTAGCTGTCTATAACAATAATTCAGTATTTATAATTGACATTAATATGTTGTAATTTGATTTTCATCATTTTATAAGTATGTTCTTAAATATAATTAAAGACTAATTCACAAAATGGTGACAAATGGTGCTATACATTTATACTATATTAAATATGAAACCAACAGGAAATAATAAGAACATTTTTTTACATTTCTACTAGACCTTGAGGGAAAGAACATACCAACATGATTGGAGATCAAAAGTCCCAAATTTCCAATAAGCATTTCCCAAAAGACGGTTGTCTTTATTTTAACATTATGAGAATATTTTGGCCATCATTTCTTTATTTTTGCTTTCAAATATTATTTCATTTATCATGGATTTTCATACATATATAACTGGCTACTTTTGCATGGAAATGACTAGCCATAAAAATATTTAGTTTTCATTTGATTTAATGAATATCTATTGTTTTTGTTTTTCTTCTTGTATTGACTGAAAGCAAGCATCCACTTAACTGCACAATTATTCCAGTTTATTGCACATACTAATTCTCATCAAGCTAACCTTTCACCCTTCATTCCAAATACATGCTATGTAGTAATGTTATTTTATTCAGGTTGCCTGAAGTTTAAGTCATTTTATTTGAAGATAAATATATATGTACGTATATAAACATCTACTCTACTCCTACCCTCAAAGCAGCCTCACAGGAAGAAAATAGCATGTGGAAAATTATGCCCAGAGAGCTATTTATTTGTTTTTCCACTTCCAAAAATCAGTTTCAACAAGACCCAAATGTTAACCATAAAAGCCAAGTCTGCTTAAAACCTTGAATAGACCAGCTTATTATTACCTTGGTTCTTAAGAACCTCAGGGAGACTGGCTACTTTTGGAGACTAATCCATGAGGAAGTTATATAAAACCTAAAAATTCCAAACGTGCAATACAGACTCTATCTCTTGAATTGGTTTCGATGATTGAACGACACTCCTGATAAAAAATCACCTGAGACTGGGTCAAACCTACTGTGGGCCTTCCAATAGTGACCCCAAACCCAAAGATGAGCTATAAATTAAAGTGACCTATACAGGTAGGAAGCAAGACCACATTGGGCATCATTCTTAACCTCTTCTACTTCTTCCCTGCTTAGAAAGAAGGCATTAGCCAAAGAACATATATCTTGACGCAGAGACACAGACAACAGTGTGGTGCTGGCAGGTGGGTGGAGGAGAGAGGCAGGAAATGGGGACACCTGTAATAGTGTCAACAATAAAAATAAAATTAAAAATTAGGATGAGCCCTGACTGGTGTGGCTCAGTGGATTCAGCGCCGGCCTGTGAACCAAAGGGTCGCCGGTTCGATTCCCAGTCAAGGCACATGCCTGGGTTTGTAGGTCAGGTCCCCAGTAGGGAGCGCTCAAAAGGCAACCACACACTGATGTTTCTCTCCCTCATTCTCCCTCCCTTCCCCTCTCACTAAAAATAAAATCTTTACAAAAATAGGATGATCCTTTGTGACTACTGAATCAATAACACTCTCCATTTTTATACAAGCACAAAACCACTACTGTAAAATCTTGAAAAAGTGAGACAGAAAGAAATATATCATTCCACACATTTTGAATAACATTGTAAAAAGGAACAGGATTATCATAGAACTGAAACCCATGATGAAAGACAGAATGAAAAGTAATTACTTAAGGCCAAAATATGCTAAGGCACAATCTCTTATGCATATTTCATTCAAATATTAAAGGAAGCACGTGTGAGGTCAAATGAAAAATAATACCAAATGTATCATATTTCTTTATTTAAATATTGCAATGAATTCTCAGTACACTTTAACAAGTATCTTTGATAATAAGCATTTTGATGACATATATAAGAGGGAATAATTGAAATTTAAGAATATAATTAAGTGCATTTCTAAATTTGATACTAGTTAAATACTGTGGACTTTTATATAATACTATGTATTTTTAATATTTATAAATATGTTTTATAAAGTATTAATACCTATCACTGTATATAAGAGAACTTCACAGCAATACTGTTGCCCAATGAGATTTAATTCCATTTAGAAAAGATAAAGAATAACATTAATATTTTATCTTTTTGGTAACTCAATTAAATGGACAAATTTAGCAATATATAAGACAATGTACACACAACAGTTTTTAAGTATCTACAAGATGCTAAGTCAGGTTTTCCAAAATCTTTACCCATTGTCTCTTCAGAATCAAATGTGTGAATGGTGAATATTGATTAGCAGGGTTATGGGAGGGGATGTTGGAGAAAGAAGTGATTAAAATAAAAACAAGATAAATCAGGGGTACTTATCATTAGATCATAGAAATATAAAGAAGATGAAAATAGTCAAGGAACATATAGCAAGGACTCATGGACCAAGGAGAGGGAGGGAAAAGGGGGGAAGGCAGAGACAAATGTATATAAAAAGTAAATAAATTAATTAAAAAAAAAAAGAAAATAAACTGATTGTGTGATCAAAAAGAACGAGTTGTGAGGGCAATTCAGTCTATAAAATTTAATCAGAGGCCAAAAATATAATTGGAGGGGACTATGTAATCACTAATGCACAAATCTTATTCATATATAATGTAATCATAATAATTCCATAACAAATATGTACAATTTTATTTTGCCAGCAAAAGTGCACACCAATCATTTTACTACATCTAAGAAGAAGCATAAGCTGTCAAGTGTAGAGTTTGGTTTAGTCTGCAATAAACCATACCATTCTTTTAGGTATGTTTTTTACTTTTATTTTAAAGATTTTATTTATTTATTTATTTTTAGAGAGAGCAAAAGGAGGGAGAGAAAGAGCCATGGGTTGCCTCTCGTGCACCCCTTACTGGCCCGCAACCCAGGCATGTGCCCTGACTGGGAACCGCACCGGGGACCCCTCGGTTCGCAGGCTGGTGCTTAATCCACTGAGCCACACCAGACAGGGCAACATGTTTTTTAAATTAACCTATTTAATTTAGATTCCAAAATCACCATAACATCCTGCTGACTTTTATCCTTAACCAGGATCTTGAGTGAAGATAAGCTAAGAAATGTCAAAAGTTGCCAAGAGAGCCTCTTCAGTTCTACACGGTGATTCTCTATGTACTTTGTCCTCTTTCCCTGCATGTTTTCCTTCCTCTCTCCCCTTAAAATCGCCATGTATAACATAACGATACAAAAAAATTGATGCTTGCCCCAGGAAAGTTTCAGAGCATCAGATTTCAATTGCAAATTTCAATGTCAAATTCTATTTTTTCCTTAAACCATTCATCCATATTTTTTCACATATCATTTAAATACAACTTTAGTTTGAATAATTTTCCTTAGGCCATTCTGATTGTCAGTGTAAAACAACTGTATGAATGTTGAAAATAAAAGAAAGAACATTTAAACATTACTTATAAGTCTTTAAACACTTTGTGGTGAAATAAATGCTTCCGTATGATATCATTTCTAGTGGTCCTTTCAGTAGCTGAAAGCAATAATCCTCTCCTCAACTCAGTTTTGTACCACTTTTGCAGTAATAAAGCTGATGAGTGAGAGTGAGGTAATTGATCTGCGGTGCCAGGGGCAATTAAATAAATAAGTACATATGACATTTACAAACACGAATGCGGCAACTGTTAAAGATGTCAAAATAATCAGAAAACATGGTCATGCAACTTAATTATTAAAATTGTCTCCTGAAAGAATGCAAATGTATCATTGGTCAAATAATTTCTCAAAAAATTTAATAACCACATCGCAAAGGAGGTCTGATGTGACTTGATAAACCAGAGAAAACTATTGTTATTTCAGTCTCTTAAGTCAGTCCAATAAAACTCTAATTGGTTCCTACCGTAGATGTGATACAAATTCTCTGCTTTTCTGGTTTGATATTTGTAGGTTAGGAGTGCTGAATTCAGAACTGTTTCTTGAGCAAGAATGTAGGAGAGCTTCCAGGCCTTTCGATACCTCTGTGTTCTGCTCTTGAGAGATTTGAAGGCTAATCTGATTCCCATTATTCATTAGCAAATTGGAAGTCATAAGGTTGGTTATGGAGAGGCACTTAGTGAGATTTTCTTCCAAAAATTGTTTGTAGACTTCATCCACTTTTTTTTCCATATAACTGTTAAGCATAGAATTAGAGAGGGGCTGCTTATGGAACAACATACTTTTTTCTCGAATTTCATCCCCACTCAAAAGTTTTGAGGCAGGTGGTTTCTCTAGAGGCTCAGTGATAGGAGAATGGCCCAATGGGATATCTTCTGAAAGTAAAAGGGGACCATTAAAAGCATCATCACGTATGTGTTCCACGAAGCAGCCTGAGTCATACATGTTCCCCACGTGGTCTCCTCCAATCTGCAGGTCAGGATAATTCTGGTAAATACTTGTACATGACCAAGATCGGTATAAATCCAATTGGCTTTCATCATATTTTTCTCTCTTCGGAATGGGCAATGCAACAGACACATTTCCTGGAAAGGAAATCTCATCCACAGATTTCCTTTGATTTGTATCATTAATATGCTCTGCTGAACTTTCATTCTCAACCTTATATTGACTTTCTATTTTATCAGGGGAAAGTGAATTGTCTTCTAGGTCTAAAAGCTGCTTTTTCCAAGTTTCCTTTTCAGCATCTGAGGTCTTATATGTGAGTGGTTTACAAAATTTTGTATATTTCTGTTCTTTGTATAGGAATTCAATTAGGAAGGCTTCCCCAAGCATCTTATTAGGCAATATTTCTAAACAGAAGGCTGCAGTATATTCCTGAAATAAAAGAACTCATTAGGGCAACATAAATTAAAAGGTCAAATTAAGATTTATCTTCTGTATGAAACACAAGTGATTTAGGGAAGCAGTATCACTCAAAGGATAGAAAATAGGACCAGAAATAAGGATACTTGGGTTCTAATTCTGCCGTTACCTTTTTAATATCAGATAAATTACTGTTACTGGGTCTCAATTTTTCTATTAATTAAATGGTGACAACACTCCTCTGTTTTCTTCACAGGGTTATTGTAAGAATATTATATGAAGCACATGCAAATGTTTTAAAAAGTACAAACTTATGCAAGTGTACAACTATGTATATGTACTTGTCTATTCAGCTGCCATAAATGATTTATTTTAAAGTTATTAGTTAAAATACCTAACCCTTTCTCTATCTTCAAATAGTCTATCTAAAATCAACCTGGTTTCAAGGACTCAGTCTTAATTTAACTGTGTATTAATTACTGTCACTTGAGTCACACACTGAAAAAATTACTATGCCTTAGAATGTGTACAAGGAATGCATATTTATACATAATCTGGACTCATGAACACTTTCAGATTTAAACTATAAATGTAGCCACTTACTTTTTCAATAATCTAAACTGAAATAGACATTAATAGAGACAGAACATTAAAAAAGGGTGCCAGGGGCTAGGGAATCAGAAATTATTAATGTTTAATGAGCACAGAGTTTCCGTTTTGCAAGATGAGAAAGTTCTGGAACCATAGTGGTGATGGTTACACAATAACGTGAATGTACTTAATGCCGCTGAATTGTACACTCAAAAACAATTAAAATGATAAATAAATAAATGCAAATAGTTTTGTCACTTTCTACTACCATGCTTTTTTTCTTTTTCTTTTGCCTTTCCCCCTTCTCCCTTTCTGTCTCTCTCCTCTCTCCCTGCTTCTCCGTCCCTCCCCCCTACTCGCCTTTCCTTCATTTCTTCCTTCCATTCTTTTCTTTTGCACTTAAATTTTATTTTTCAAAGTACTTATTCAGTCTTTTGCATGGTTTGCCTGAAATTTTAAGACTCAATTTTTCCTATAAACGCCATAAGGGTGCAAAAGAAGAAAGCAGACTTGATTCAATACCCCATTTTCCTTTTATAGGTCTATAGTGTCTGCTATAAATGTTTCCAAGAAGCCTACTTACTCATATTTTAAGGGTTTTTGAAAGAAAATCAAACAATACAACACAAAATATGTGAGAATTTAGATTTACCTTTTCTGAATATCAAGATACCTAAAGATTTAGTCTTCTGAGGTTCCAACACTGCAAACAGAAGAAAAGTACCTTTGGCTTCTTTGTTTCTCAGCTGCTGATTATACCTCAGAATGATAACTTCAACCATACAAAACAAGATGGTTCTGCTTTCCATTCATGCCCTAGGACTGAAGCAAACTAACAGGAAAATGAGGTGGTCATGATGTTCACATACCAAAAGAGGATCTTGAAAGTATTTCTTCAATATGCAAATGGCAATGACAGTGGGAAACACTGACAGCAGTAGCTTTTTTCATCCAAGCGAAGACAAGAGGCAAGGTTCTTTTAAAATTTTTAAGTAAAAACTGCAGTATGGAAACCAGCATATTTTGTACCAATGAGTAATTAAAAAGAACTTAAACAGCCACCAGCGAGGTGATGGTTAGGTAAATTATGATACATCTATTACATTAAATACTAAATTAAGCATCTTTAATAATAGAATGATAATAAGCCTTTATTAAGTAGTTATTACAAAACACTCATTCTAAATGTTCTACACATGCTATTTAACTTAAAACAGAAGCTATTATCTGCATTTAACAAAAGAAGCCATGACAGAGAAGGGTTTTATACTTGTTGAAGGCCACAAAGCTAGTAAATGGTGCAACTAGGATGTGTACCAGGCAAGTGAGTTCAGAACCCATGGTCTTAATCACTACACTGCATTGCCTTCACGTGAACTGATGAAATGTGAGTTGCACAACAACATATACAGTAGGATTGCGTCATGTACTATGGGCCAGGCACTTTTCTAAATACTTCACATGTACTAGCTAATTTAATCTTCATCATATCTCTAGGAAACAGATACTGTAATGGTCATTTTACCAGCGAAGAAACTGGGGTGCAGAGAAGTTAGATAAGAGGCTCAATATCACACAGTTTTAAGTGGCATAGAGCCTGTGTTTGAACCCAGGCAGCTTGGCTTCAAAGACTGTGTGCTTAACTTCTCTGCTATAACTGACTTTCTCTTCCTTTTCATTGGCTTAATATATGTAATGATGTCTGTGGAAAAGGATATAAATCAAACTGTTAATAGCAGTTTCCTCTGGGAGGAGGGTGACAGGTAGAAGGTGAAGGGGCAAATTTCCTTGCTGCTTCCTACATTTCTATATGGTTTGCATTCTTCTACAAGTAACATGTATTCATGCACTATTTGCACAATTGAAAAATTAATAATTCACATACACAAAAGGATAAGAAAAATTAAACAGCCTTCTTTATAAATCATTTTCCCAATCTCACGCGTGTCTGCCACATCCGTTAGAATGAGTTCAAACCCAGACACGAATTGCCAAACTAGACTGAGCAAAATTTCTACCTAGTTCATACTTTTGGCTACAATTATCAATACAGCTTTTATTTTACAAGTAATTATGTCAAAGTAATTATCACAAACATCCCATACAATAGGTTAATTATAATTCTGTATGCCATACCAATCCACTTATTTTAGCTTGTCAAAGATATCCTCTTATAAGGAACAGTGTATTAATTTAGCTTGAATTCAAGGACTCGCAGCAAAAACAATTGTGAAAAACAAGTTTTCTACCACTGTCACCACAAAGGAATACTAAAAGAAAATGGAGATCTCAAATGGTTTCTAACTTAGACTCCTTCGTTAGTCATAGCCTATCGCCTTTGCCTCAGTCACCCCTATATCCAATTTCTGCAAATCCTAGCAGTGCCCTGTCCAATGATCCCTGCCTTTCTCTAGTCATTTTGTTCTTGGACTGCTGCAGCTGCTTCCAATCTTATCCCTTTTCAAATCCACTAGACAGTTAGATCCACCTTTCACCCAAACCTGCTAAGTCTTTCAATATCTTCTAAGAATTCATTGACTAACAATAATCATAATTTATCACGTGCATTATAAATCAAAGGTGCCCTTAGGCAACATCTACACTTACGTAATCCTAACAGTAAATCTGCAAGTTATGATTTTGCATATTTTTACAAAACAGGAAACGGCCTCAAAAAGACCAAAAAAAAAAAAAAAAAAAACTAACATGAACCCTGAACGACTATGTTCTTTTCCCTGTTTACTTTTTTAGCTTTTATTCCTACACTTGCTCCCAAACTTTCAATTGCCATGATGTTTCATGACTGTTCTTCTGCCTCAAAGTCCTTTATTCTTATTATTTCCTGGCCGACTATACATTCTTCAGGTTTTTATTTTGCTCTCAGTTCTTAAGCACCTAGCCTGGTAAAGATTTCTCTCCATTTCATTTACCTTATCTTGCTGGTTAGCACTCTCTGAGTTCCTTGAAGGTAAATGCTTTTTCTTACTCATACTGATGTGTTTGTTCCCAAGCAAAATATAGAGTCTGACACTTATTTTCATCAATTATAATTATCATTTTTTAATCTACCGATGCATGTCAGACCATGTGCCTAACATTTTTACATACTGAATTTATTTAATCTTACTTAGGTGATGCTGCCCCGTAGGCATCAATAGAGAAACTGACATTTAGAAAGAAGTAATTTGCCTACGATCCATAACTAGTCCCTTGTAGAGCCACGGAATCCAAATTTGCCTAAACACAAAAGCTGGCGCTACGGTTCTTTGACCTTCCCTCTTAATTCCTATTGCCAATTTTTGGCAAACCTCTAAAATCCTGTCCATGCTGTCGCTATCTTCAACTGCTGGAAAAGGTTAAAACTTAGAAATAAAAGATGACCTATGAATGTATTCAAGAGGAAGCTGACATTACAGTGCAAAGTCATCTTTTTACACAGGGAACAGAGGAAGTGCTATGAGAGGCAGGAACTATTGCACCCACAATTACGAAAACCAAAAGGTCAACTCCCAGGAGGAAAGGGTGTCCCGGAAACCGCAGTCCTCAAGAAGGCAGGAGTGCTGGAGTGGGAAAGGAGTCACCTCTCTGCGCTAGGAGAGAACGTAACAAAGACTGCTATGGTGGGCTGGTCCCATCCAGGTCAGCCTCACACCATTTGCTCTGTCCCTAGAAACCTAGGCAACGCAAGTTTTAATTTATGTCTCTCTTCAATCCTGATACTGTATTTTGGCTGTTTTCTCCCTCAGGAGTCTCAGCCCTTCACTCACAGCTGCAGTTGCAGGAAGATGCAAAAAGGGGCAGCAGGAAGGTAGAGACCATTTGCTCTTCCCCTCCCTCCTCCCCTGGGCCCCGCAGATGAGAGGAAAGGGGGTTTAACTGTTGTTTACAACCCGTGGGAATTCAGACTCTCCCCCCTAGGCCGGTGGAAGTTACTGATTAGTAGCCTCCAGGCCCCCGCATTTCCGGAACAGGCGCTCACCTGCGCCACAAAGGCCATAGTTTCCCAGCCAATCCTGAGCGCAGTGGCCGCCGGCCCTTAGCAACGGCCCCGAGGAAGGGCAGGCTCGAGACTTCGGAAAGCCTACCCGAGCCGTGAGCGACGTTGAAGTGGCTAACTGCGGCTTACTTCTGCAAAGTAGCCTCTGAGTGGGAGCAATGAGCACCATTAATGTCTATTATTCCAGCGTATCAGGGTCTAGGGAGGTGAGTGGAAAGAAGAGTCTCAGCGGGTTAAAAACCAAAAAAGACTACAGTGAAGATAACCTAACTGGGGACTTGAGGATTGTGCTAATATATTACCGTTCTCTCCCTGCCTTTCATTCTTCAGCTTTCTCCTCTCTAGGTTTTCTGGGGTGGGACGTGCGGGGGCGGGGCCTCAGGCAATATGGTTAATGCCCTCACACAGGTTGGGCTCTGGGGCCTAAGAGATTGGGGAGGTTTCTGTGCCCCAAGCTCTAACCACATGAAGGGCTTCCAATAATTTTGTGGATGTTTCGAATGGAAGTGATAAAGGACCCTATTTAGGATGGGAGATGAAAGAGATAAAGATGCCTGCCTAGTTTGGGAGAGGAAGAAATGACCCAAACCTTCAGAAGACTGGGTAGCCCCCAAAAAGCAAACTGATGGTTAATTTTTAAGGAAGTGTATTTGCCTAGATCACGTATTTCTTTTTTTTTTAATTAAAAAATGTTTTGTTAAATGTTTCAGAGTGACATTGGCTAATAAGATTATATCGGTTTCAAGTGTACATGTCTATGAAATATGATCTGTATGTTGCACTGTGTGCCCACCACTCTTAAGTCAAATCATTTTCCATCACCATATATTTGCCCCCCTTCAGCCCTTATTACCACCGCCCCTTCCCCCACCGTAACCACCATACTGTTCTCTGTGTCTACGAGTTTCAGTTTTCTATTCCAAATATGAATGAAATCATATGGTTTGTAGTTAATTCTGACTGACTTATTCTCTTAGCATGATATTCTAAAGATCCATCCATGTTGCAAATGGCACTATTTCATCTTATGTCTGAGTAGTAATCCATTTCTTAACTGAGCTTAGATGAATATTTTGGCCAGGATATAAGTAGATTATAGAACAGTGCTTTCCAGCAGCAATATATTGCCAGCCACATATGCCATCTTAAATCTTCTACTAGCCACTTAAAAGAGAGATTAAATTAATATATTTTATTTAACACAAAAAGGACAAACTGTTATCACTGCAGCATATGAGCATTATAAAAATGGAGATGTTGTATATTCTTTTCTCACATCAAGTCCTCAAATTCCAGTATGTATTTTGCATTTAGAGCACATCTTATTTTGGACTAGCCATACTTCAAGTGCTCGATAGTTACATGTGGTTAGGGGTTAACACGTTAGACAACTCAGTTATAGAAACACCAGCCTATGGTTAAAGACTTAATTTGGCAACGTTTTTGGAGAAGCATGAAAATTGAAGGATTTGGAATTGATTATAAATGACTGACAAACATTTATCACATTCCTGCTGTGGGTCACATACAATGATAAGCGCAGGGAGGAATCACAATCGATCTAAGCCTAGAAAGAATGCATTGCTTTTGCATAAAGCCTTGTCAGAAAGGTTAGGGATTTGGCCTGGGTACTACGAAATAGCAAGAAGCGGTCTGAAAAAGAAAACTGTAGACAATTTGACTCATTATTTTGGAATGTTGTGATTTATGTTGTTGAGCATGATCCTACGAGACTGTAAGAGGGAACTAATTTGAATCAGTAAGGACCACAATGGATAGAGCAAAAAGCTTACCCGCCTGTCGGTCTGTCCCTCAAACTGTAAGGTGAAATTCATCTGCAGGACTTGTTAAAACTTTTCCTAGAACTCACTCCCAGAGAATCGGATTCTGTAGTTTTGGAGTGAGGCAAGGCTGATGCTACCTGCTCTTAGGAGCCATGGTCAAACTAGCATTGGTTTAAGCAATTGCTCTTTTCTTAAAGGGCTCTTCCTAAAAGGTTTTGGAAAACTACAGCAAAAGTTTGACTTAAGTCATAGGCACTATGCTTTCGCAATTTTAAAAACTAATGTGACTCAGAAAGTGGAAATGTTTCAGTTTGGAATTTCAGAAATTTCTGAGCTCTGAAATATAGGCAGAGGTTTCTCGTAGACATTTATAACCCACTGGAGATTTTCAGCCCCCCGTAATTTGTCCACACATTAAACATATTTGTATATTATATACACTATATGTATGTGATGTAGATATATATGAAAATCACATAACTTTTGTTCCTCAAAGAAGTACCACATCATTAAAAGCTTTTTCCTCTTCCATGGCATAATGGACAGGGAAAATAAAAATTAAACATGGCACTTTGGGATCAGTTGATTAACATCTTTCTGTCACTTTACATCTTTACCTAGGTGAAGCAGAGACAGGAGGAAGTTATCAGAATTTTAGATGCTTACAAAATAAATTATGAGTTAATAGATATTTCTATCAGCTTGAAAAAACTTCAACAAATGAGGATGAAGGTTTCCAGCCCAAAAGCTCTACCGCCTCAGATATTCAATGGCCAAGAATATTGTGGAGTAAGTGTAAATGTTTATTTTTATTTTATTTTTATTTTATATCTTAAGGTCCCATATTGTACGTGGGGAAATAATACATTTATGAAATGCAATGGTAAGGCTTCTCCATTTACAATATATCCCTGAAGACAAAGCAATTTGTGCTTTGGTACAAAAAGATTGTCACAAAAAAAAAAAAGCTATATCATGCTGCTTGTTTTGGAATACTTATGCAGTATTTTTCATATGTTATAGTATGAACTTCTGATACTCTGGGGAATTTTTTTTTTTAAATCTAACTTAGCTGACAGAAATTTGCAAAGGCCCAGGCAAGATAATTGGGAAAGTTACCTAGACATTTGAGTTTAATGAGTTAATAAGTGAGAATTTTTAGCCTTGATATTACGAATTAATTTTGATCCCTTTTAGGATTTTGAAATGTTTAACAAGGCAAAGGAGAACAAAGAGATTCTGAAATTCCTGAAGTTGGAATGAATGGGCGTAAGGGCATGAACGATGTTTACCAACGTGACTGACATGGGCCTGCGTATATTTCCATCTACATCTGTCACTTTTAATTTTAACAATAAAACGGTTTCACTAAAATTAATTGCTGTCTAGATTAAGTCGTATTCATTAAGAGGTGCGGCTTTACCATTTCAGATGAGATCGGGCGTGTTGGGGTGGTATGGCCTTGACGAGCTTTTACCATTTCAATCATGCGTTAAAGTCATTTATCTATTACGCTGTGAACATTTTATAAAAACTGTGTAAAAAAACCCATTGTTTTCTATCTATCCTTAAGTCCCTAGTAGCTGTCAATTTATAGGCAAGAAATAGACTTTTAATGCAATTTTCAACTTACTTTCAGCTTTATTTTGTAAAATGTTTCTCAGCGTGACAGAGGCTTACAATTTGTACTGGAGCTGTTAAAAAAGAAAAAAGCAAATAACTGGACCCCATTCCAAGGCCTCCTAAGTGGAAATGGGGGAGAATAGAAAACTGTGTTTTTAACAACCCCCCCTGGTGATCTCTTTTTGTACACTTCAGTCTGGAAACTAAGAGTAAAGAATAGCAATTTTAGGTCACCGTTCCCTGGACCTCCAGCTCTGTTATAAATCGTAGTCTTCTTCCAAACCTATTTTTACTCCCGTGGTTCCTATCTTGTTGAATGGTAACTGCATTCAATCAAACCCCGACTGAGAAACCTGGACATAGTCATTAATATTGCACACTCCCTCACGCCCATATGCAACCCGTCACCAAACCCTAGTTTTCATATCCCAGTTGCCCCACACTCTGCAGCTTTCCAGCTACTGCCTTTGCTCATGTCTTCACCAGTTTTGCCTGTACTTTTGTAATAATAACTTCCTATTTCCAGTTTTACTAGTTTGACATCTGCTCTCCTCATTACTGTTAAATCAGGGCTTTTCAATCTTGACTGAACCATGGAATCACCTGAGGAACTGGGAAAAAACATGGCTGAATCCCATTTTGAATGATTCTATGTACAACTATATTTGGGAACAATAGCCTTAAAAGGATCTTTCTAAAACATGACTTTAGGTGTATGGAGCCTGCAGCATAAAGTTTCTCACAATGTGGTGTAGGGAAAACACCTCTCAGAATCACCTGGAGAACATAATAAATATGCAGATTCCTGAGCCTTGCCCCATAACTCTAAAAAGTTGGGGCAAAAATATTTAAATTTTAAATGAACATCTCCAGATGCACACTTACTTCTGAGAAGTGTTAAAATCTAAACTTCGTACTCATTCTATTTTGTTTATTAGTATATTTTGTTCATTAGATCCCACATATGGTATCTTTCATTGACTGGCTTATCTCTGTGTAATAATCTCCAGGTCTATCCATGCTGTCACAAACGGTAAGATTACCTTCTTTTTATGGCCGCATACTATTCCATTGTGTAGATGTACCACAGCATTTTATCCACTCATCTACTGATGGGCACCTGGGCTGTTTCCAGATCTTGGCTATGATAAATAATGCTGCTATGAACACAGGGGTGCACATATTCTTTCGAATTGGTGTTTCAGGATTTTTAGGATATATTTCCAGAAGTGAGATCACTGGGTCAAAAGGCAGTTCCACGTTTAATTTTTTGAGGAAGCTCCATACTGTCTTCCACAGTGGCCGCACCAGCCTGCATTCCCACCAACAGTGCACATCCTTGCAAGCACTTGCTGTTTGTTGATTGATTGATGGTAATCATTCTGACAAGTGTGAAGTGGTATCTCATTGTGGGTTTTTGTAAAGGTTTTACTTATTTATTTTTAGAGAGAGGGAAAAGGAGGAAGAGAAGGAGAAAAACATCCATATGTGGTTGCTTCTCGCATGCTCCCCACTGGGGACCTGACCTGCAATCCAGGCATGTGCCCTGACTGGGAATTGTACCATCGACCCACTGGTTCACAGGCTGGCACTTGGTCCAGTGAGCCACACCAGCCAGGGTCTCATTGTGGATTTAAAAATACATATTTTACTTATTTATTTTTAGGGAGGGGAAGGGAAAGAGAAGGAGAGAAACATCGACATGTGGTTGCCTCTCGCGTGCCCCTCACCGGGGATCTGGCTTGCAGCCCAAGCATGTGCCCTAGACTAGGAATCAAACCAGTGACCCTTTGGTTCACAGGCTGGCAGTCAATCCACTGAGCCACACCAGGGGTCGTTGTGGTTTTAATTTGCACCTCTCTAATGATTAGTGATGTTGAGCATCTTTTCATATGTCTATGGGCCATTTGTATGTCCTCTTTGGAGAAGTGTCTATTCAGGTCCTTTGACCATTTTTTAATTGGATTGTTTTTATGGTGTTGAGTTCTTCTTAAGTTTTGTTATTAAACCCTTATCAGATCTATTGACAAATATTTCCTCTCATTCAGTGGGTTGTGTTTTCATTTCATTGATGGTTTCTTTTGTTATGCAAAAACTTTCTAGTTTGATGAGGTTCCATTTGTTTGTTTATTTTTTTCCTTTCTTTCCCTTGCCCTAGGAGACATACTGGGAAAAATAATGCTATGAGAGATACTTGAAATTTTACTGCCTATGTTTTCTTGTAGAATGTTTATGGTTTTGCTAGTTAAAGTCTTTTATCCATTTTGAGTTTATTCTTGTGCATGGTGTAAGTTGGTGTTCTAGTTTTCTTTGCATGTACTTGACGATTTTCCCAATACTGTTTATTGAAGAGACTTTCTTTACTCCATTATATATTCATGTCCCCTTGTTAAATACTGACCATAAAAAACGTGGGTTTATTTCTGGGTCTCTGTTCTCCTACACTGATCTATATACCTATTCTTATGCCAGTACCAGGCTGTTTTGATTACAGTGGCTTTGTAGTATAGTTTGATATCAGGTATTGTGATACCTCCACCGTTGTTCTTCTTTTTCAACATTGTTAAGGCTATTTGCAGTCTTTTTTGGTTCATAGAAATTTTTGAAATATTTGTTCTAGACCTGCGAAATGTGCCATTAGTATTAGAATAGGAATTACGTTGAATCTATAGATTGCTTTGGGCAGCATGAACATTTTAATATTAATTCTTCTTGTCCATGAATATGGTATATGCTTCTACTTATTTGTATCTTCCTCAATTTCTTTTTAGTGTCCTACAGTTTTCCAAGTATAGGTCTTTTACCTCCTTGGTTATGTTTATTCTTAGGTACCTTATTTTTTTTTCTTGTAATAGTAAATAGGATTGTTTTCTTCATTCCTCTTTCTGATAGTTCATTACTGGTGTATACAACTTTAATTTAAAAGATAAATTCATAAAAAGAATGAACCTGTGTTATTGCTACAAAATGTATAAAGATTCGATTGTGATGACATAATGGGGGGTTGGGAAAGACCTATATATAAGAGCAGAATTTTTATATGCTATTTCAGTTAAAGTGGTACAAATGCAAACTAAATTGTTATAAATTAGGAAAATTAATGATAATCTCTTTGGTAACCATAAAAAAATCTTTAAAATATATGCAAAAGGAAATGAGAAGGGAATCAAGATGCCCTACAATAAACTATAAAAATAAATACAAATGAAGGCAGTAACTGAGAAGATGAGGAGCAGAAAAGGTGTAAGACATATCAAAAATATGAAAATAGCAGAAGTTCCTTTTTATTAGTAATTACTTCATATGTAAATGGAGTAAAGTCTTCAATCAAAAAGCAGAAATTGACATAATGGATTAAATAATCTAACTATATGCTGTCTACAAGAGGCTCACTTTACCTTTTTTAACAGCTTTATTGACACACAATATACTCTACATATATAAAGTGTACAATTTTGCAGGTTTAGAAATGTGTGTGTGTGTGTGTGTGTGTGTATGTGTGTATCCATAAAACCATTACCACAATCAAGGGAATGAACATACCCATCACCCCAAAAAGTTTCTTAAGAACCGTTTGTAACCTCCGTTTGTAACCCTCTCTCCTGCTCTACCCCCGCCCACCCCCAGGCAACCACTTATCTGCTATCTAACACTATACATTCATTTGTATTTTTAAAAGTTGTCATAAATGGAATCATGCCATATGTACTACCTTTTCTGGCTTCTTTCAGTCAGAATAATTATTCTGAGATTCAGCCATGTTGCGGCATGTATTGATAATAGTTTATTCCTTTTTACTCCTGAATATTATTCCATTGTATGAATACACCACCATTTTATCTATTGGCCTGTTGGTAAACATTTGGATTGTTTCCAGTTTTTAATGATCACAAAGCTGCTTTGAACATTCATGTGGAAGTCTTTGTATGGACCTATACTTTCATTTCTTTTGAGTAAATTCCTAGGACTAGAATGACTAAGTCATAGGGTAGCTGTGTTTAACTTTTTATTTATTATTTATTTATTTATTTATTTATTTATTTATTTATTTATTCTTAGAGGGGAAGGGAGGGAGAAAGAGAGGGAAGGAATAATCGATGCGTGAGAGACACATCAATTGGTTCCCTCTCACATGCCCACAACCAGGGACCTAGCCCATAACCCAGGCATGTGCCCTGACTGGGAATCGAACAGCTGATGTTTTGGTTCACAAGCTGGCGCTCAGTCCACTGAGCCACACCAGCCAGGGCTGTTTACTTTTTAAGAAACTGTCAAACAGTTCCCAGAATGGTTGTATCATTTTACATCCCCAATGGCAATGCAGGACAGTTCCAGATCCTCCACATATGATTTGGCATAAAACAACCTTTTGATTGTAAACATTTCAATAGGTGTGCATATTTCTAGTGACTAATGAGGCACAACATCTTTTTATGTGCTTATTTGTCACCCACACTTCTTTGTGGGTGAAATATCTACTCCGATCTATCTCCAATTTTTTTATTGATTTGTTTTGTTTTCTCGTTATCAAGATTCCTTGCCATGGCTGGTGTGGCTCAGGGGATTGAGCACCGGCCCATGAACCAAAAGGTTGCTGGTTTGATTCCTGGTCAAGGCACATGGCTGTGTTGTGGGCCAGGTCCCTAGATGCGGGCGTGTGAGAGGCAATCAATCCATGTTTCTCTTGTTCATTGATGTTTCTCTTTCTCCCTCTCTCCCCCTCTTTCTGAAAATAAATAAAATCTTTAAAAAAAGAGTTATTTATATATTTCAGATACAAATCCTTTATCAAATGTGATTTGCAAACATTTTCTTCAATACTGTGATTTGACTTAACATTTTTATATACTTTATTTTTTAATTATAATGCACTTCCGCTATTACTTTTTATTGGTTTAAGGTGTACAGCATACTGGTTAGATAATCATATACTTTACGAACTGTTTCCCCTGGTATTTCCAGTCCCCACCTGGCATGATACAGAGTCATCACATTATTATTGACTCTGTCCCCTGCGCTATGCTTTACATCCCCATGACTATGTTGTAACTACCAATATGTACATTTTAATCTCTTCACTTCCTTCACCCAGTCCCTCAACGACCCTAGAGGGTGTTTTGCTATTTGAAGTCAGTCAGTCAGAGAAAGACAAAGACCATATAATTCTATGTGGAATACAGAGAATAATATAAATGAAAAAACAAAACAGAAACAGATTCATAGATACAGAGAACAAACTGATGGTTGCCAGAGGGGAGTGGGGTTGGGGGATTGGGTGAAAGAGGTGAACAGATTGAGGACGCACGGATTGGCAGTTACAAAATAGTCATGTGGATATAAAGTACAGCATAGGGTATGTAGTCTATAATATTGTAATAACTATGTAGGGTACCAGGTGGGGACTGGAAATATCAGGGGAATCACTTTGTAAAGTATACAATCGTCTAACCACAATGCTGTACGCTTGAAACTAATACAAAATAATATTGAATGTAAACTGTAACTGAAAAAAGAAATAAGAACATATAAAATATTAAAAAAGAAAAGAAAATCCATAGAATGGGAGAATATATTTACAAATCACGTATCTGATAAGACTTGTATTCTGAATATATTGCATAAACACAACTTAAAAAAATAACCCAATTGAAAAATGCATAGTGTTTGAAAGATATATTTACAAAGAAGATATATAGGTAATCATAATCACATGAAAAGATGCTCAACATACTTAGTCATCAGAAAAATGCAGATCACAATTATAATGACATACCAATTTACAGCCACTAAAATGACTATACTCAAAAAGACAAATAATAACAACTCTTGGCCAGAAAATGGAGAAATTGGAACCCTCCTATACTGCTGGGTGGGGATATAAAAGAGTGCAGCAACTTTGGAAAACTTTGGCAGATCCTCCAATTTTTAAACATAGAACTACCATATGACTTACTCATATATACACTCCAAAAAAAAAAAAAACCCTAAAAACGTGTTGAAACAAAACAAAATGTACACGATATTCATAGCAGTACTATGTATAATAGCCCAAAAGTGGAAAGAGCTTAATGTCTGTCAACTGATTAATGGATAAACAAATATGGTTGTATCAATACAATGGAATATTATTTGGCAATAAAAAATGAAGTCCTGATGCATACTAGAACACGAATGAAGCTCAAAAACATGGTACCCTGAAGAAGCCAGTCACAAAAACCACATATTATATGACTCCATTTATGTGAAATATTCAGAATAAGTAAATATATAGCGACAGATAGTAGATTAGCAGTTGTATAGGGCTGAGGGAGGAGGGGATGGGGAATGAGTGCTAATGAATACAGAGTTTCTTTGGTGGGTGATGAAATATTCTAAACTTAAATTGTGATGCTTGCACAAGTCACAATATACTAAAAATCTTCAATTGTACAGTTTAAATGGGTAAATTTTATGGTGGGTGAATTATAGTTCAATGAAGATGTTAAAAAGGAAATTACACTAAAATGAAAATTGTATAAACAGTATGGTCACTATTTCAGTAGAAATACAGATTTTTGTTTGCCTAATAAAAGGAGATGACTGATAATATTCAAAGATGAGGTAGAGAAGTTGGGAGCGGAAAATTAGAAGGTTCAAATTAATCAAATGTGAATGTCTCTTAATCAGTTATATTGGAATTAAAAAAAGAAATACCAATTTATTTTACTCAGAAAACAATATCAATGTCAATCTTTCTGTATTTTAAACATCCACAGCTGAGTAATAAAATCCATGAGAACCTTTCTTTTTTCTTCTGAATTAATGGAATATGTGTAATGAAATCTGTCTCCACAAAATTCTCTGTATTTAGACTTTCCAAGCAAGTAGTTAACAATTTCTGTTTCAAAATTCTGTTTCCTGTGTATGGGAAATGCCAAAGAAGTGTTGGCATTTAACAATACCATCAACAACTAATTTGCATTGCTTAGTGAAAATGCAAATTTTCCTAGAGGTCATATATTCTTAAAGACAATTAACCTCTAAAAAGGCAAAATATTAGCATGTCTGAGTTATAAACAGAAAGATGCCAAAAGTAATATAACAAGTAGCAACAGTTATATTTTGCAGGCAAATTTTGTGAAAATTCTTTATAAAATTCACCTTAATATTCAGAATTTAACTTCCTTTTATTATATCTACCAAACATATAGTGCTCAGCTAACAAAATGAAAGATGTCAGTTTAGGAAGACTCAATCCAACCTTTTACTTTATATATATATAAATATATATATAAAGTATATATATATATCTATATATATAGTTAATTTTAAGTTATACTCTAGCAGATATAAACATTTCAAAAAGGTCATCTATTTTTGAAGACTGTTTTTGACAGTATCACCTTATTGGATACTAAAATAAAAATAAAAATGTCCACAGAGATTATTGCAAGTAGCATCATCAGCATTTAATAAAGCTCGGGAAAAAATATTGACCCATTTTTTACACATTTTCCAGAATCTATTACAAAGCACCCTGTATTCTCTAGAGTTCTCCAGAGCATATTTTTGTACAGAAAACAATGGAACATTTCTTTGACTTCAGTGTATATTGCAAAATTCAGGACCTTAAACAGAAAATTTAGAAATTGCATTTAAATTGTTTTCTTTGTTATCGTCTCCTTTATTCTTCCCCACTCTCTGAAAAAAACATGCATTACTCATCTAAAATTGCTGTTAAACTATTTAGAAACTCCAGGAATGCATAAATTATATTTCTAAAAGTACTGAGTTTATTTTAAAGCATCACATCGAGTTTGAATCTCAGTAAACAAAATCATGTCTTCATTATGTGCCGATTTTACCAAAGAGTACAGACTCAAAAACATCAAATAATGTGATAATGTAATTTAAAAAGGTGGTTTATTAATAAAGTAGTGGAACTAAAGTACAATATGCATATCTTATGGGTCAGTGATTAAGGCCATGATGTTTCTTGTCTTCTTAGAAGTTTTTAGAATTAACATTTTTAAAAAATGAATTTTTACCTGATATTTGTGCTATTTGCTGGAATAAAGGCATACAAAATATTCTGGATACTTAGATTAATGTATTCATACAATATATGGCCATGGTGAAATAAAAAGATCAAGTATCTGAGAGAGAGTGGCATTTGGGATTACAATTTGCTTTAAAAGGGGGAAACCACTAAGATATTTTTAGCAAATACCCCCCCAAAAATAGTCTTGGACAATGGATGCAGACCTATTTTATAACAGTTACTTAAAAGTCTGAGCTCTTTACAAAAGGGTGCCACTTTAAACGTACTTACCATCCTACTTCTATAACATACATAAGCACCCTGGGCCAAGCAACTTCGAGACATGATTGCATCATAGCTGTGTAATTAAGCAAGAAACTTGTCAACTGAATGCATCTTTTGTGTGTGTGTGGGGGAGGTCATCTGTTCTGATCACTGAAATATACAGTGAAAGGCTACATTTAGAAGCCTAGAAAACCTGTGCTTCAGTACACAGAAGTTTCAACTACAAAAGAATGGGAATGTTATAATTACTATAGGAAATTACAATGTCTGCCATATCATAAACATTAGCCGCAACTACATTTTAGTCACAATAACGTCACATCAAAAAGGTACATGTTTTTGTTCACTAAAATTAATGAGGCAATTTGGAAACCAAAGACAGATTCTTTCTCTCTCTCCTTTCTAAATTCCTCACTGTAGAGCTACAGATATACTTAAGCTGCAATAATAATACCAACAAAGTACACAAGTGTTTGCTTTTTAAAATCACTGAAGTATATAAAATGCCTTGGCAGATAACAAAACTATTCCATGACAGCTACTTAAAATTTTACGTTCATCTGGCATTCTCCTCATCATAACATTCACATTTAATTATGTATTCATTTTGATTGTTTGCATGCGAAAACACCAACTAATCTATTATTTCAACACTAAGCCTATTTCTTTTGAAGCCAAGAGAATTCTGCTATTTTATAAAAAAACAATGGAGTCTCCTTTTCCGGGATGCTTAAGGCACAATGTTTAAGGTTCATGCTTGCTGCTTTGCCTGAGCTTCTGCTTCCTGAAATGAAAAAAAAGAAACATAACTTAGATTTAAATATCACCCAAGCAGACGCCCATGCTATTTTGGTTGGACTACATTAGCTTAAATTACTAAGAATAGTGAAAAGCAGAAAGTGGCCCTTGGAAATGACTGTTCTACCCGGGATGAGAATCATCCTTTGTGCAGTGTATCTAAACTGTATACTGTGCCGCTTGGTAGTCACTTAGCAGCTGTCCCAGTTATCAGATCAACTGCTTTAGTGCCGTTGCCCTTGTGTTCAAGTCGCCCTTATTTTACTTAATCATGTCCCCAAAGCACAAGAGCAGTGACGCTGGCAGTTCGAGTGCTCCCTGTAGGTGAAAAAGTGAGTAGAGGACAAGAAGAAATTTTCAGAGAGGTAGAGACCACATTCACACAACTTTTATTACAGTACGTTGTTATAAATCTTCTATTTTAGTATTACTTTTTCTTGTTACTCTCTTGTGTCTAATTCAAAAATTAAACTTTATCATAGGTGTGTATATGTATAGGAAAAATCATCGTATATATAAGATCCAGTACTATCCATGGGTTCAGGCATCCACTAGGGGGTCCGTGAATAAGGGGGGTGACTCTATTATCAGTGTGCAGGTACATTCCAATGCAGTGGTTCCTGCTGCTGCCTCTGTAAAAGATGCCTTGGTGTCCAGTACTTTGGAATCCCTAACAGCTCTAATGCTATGTCCTCTGTGAACCCTTTCCCAAATTCCTTGCTAGTAATGTGCGATCATTTCCTCAGGATACCTATAGTACTTCATTCACACCAATGGTATAGAATTTACCACAATATGTATTGAATTACAATTATTTGTAGACATATATGTTGTATAACTATTTGTGTGTGTGTGTGTGTGTGTGTGTGTGTGTGTATACCTCCCTAGATTATAAACACTGTGAATTTAAGGACTATGATGTATTCTCTGTATTTGCCTCATCATACATGTCCATCAGTACTTGATATTCAATAAATATTTGTTGAATGAAGAAATGAATGAAGGCCTCCTACTTTTAACAGAAGGAGAGGCTGTCATTGTTACAAAAAACAGACTAGTGTTCCTTTTGTAGTTCCTATGTACTGACATCAATGACTTAACTTGGGCTTTACTCACTTATTTAAATAATAATGCCTTACCTAACATTTCTTATGACTTAAATTACTCAAAAACTTAAAATAAGCAATTTAAGAAAGTTTGACAAGGAAACAGAATTTCACAGTGACTCAGATAACAATGCTAGTAAATGGTTTGTAGTGAAAATATGAACAATAACACAGACTCTCAAAATTAGAGAAGGGGATAGAGTTCAATGGACCTGTTTAACATAAAATCAGTTCCTAATAACAAAATGTAAACTGATAGAACAGGGGACATATATTCTGATCAAACCAGCGAGGGTGAAGAAGACCTTTGGTAAAAGGCAAAGGTACATTTAAAGCCCATAGCTTTGAGACATTTCATTATACAGGCAATTGAATTTTTCATTCTTTTCTTTATCTGGTCTCCATGGGAACACTGCCACTTGAAAAATTAATTTGTTGTTGGCAGAGAAAAAGCCCCAAATTTAGCCAGCAATTTAGCAACCAGTTTTGAAACTCAAATGCTCTCAGTTAATTTGAATAAATGATTGTAACATTTGCCTCACACAAAGACGATAAATGGCTGCCAAGAAGATTACCATGAACTAAGATGCTTCATGTCGATGTAGAACCGTGAAAGACAGCTAGAATAACTGAAGTCTTGAAAATGCTTACCACTTATTTGTGAATGGGTCAATGAGAGATTTGCTGCCTTGAATAGCTTGATGAAGAAGTTACCTCTTACTCACATACTTATAAGACCCACCAGGGATGAAGTACATGCAGACCAGGACCATTTCCTTTCAGTTCTATTGCAAGGCCTCTGGCTTAATCTGAGTGCTGAATAAAGGTGGAAATCTTACTGATTGAAAAACTTAGCGGAAATAAAACAGGCCTAGAAAACAAGAAAATCATACCTTTGAGCCAGGCGGGGCTGTCAAGCCTAAAAAGGCATACACTGCATTATTTTCTCTGGCTTCAAAGAAGGCATCATAGTCCTTGGTGGGAACAAAAAGGCAAAAAGAATTAGCAGTTTGCAACCAAATAAAGGAAAGAAAATGAGGACATTTATTCAAAGCAGCTTGACTAGTCACCCTCCTTGGTGGCAGCAGGCTAACTAATTAGTTAGAATCCATGGAAAGGACAGTGAAGAGGCTTATTGGATCTCTTTTAATGTACTTGCCAGTAAGAGATCACTTATTCAGGCAGGGGTTTGTTCTTCCAGTTTCCCATGATTTCTCTCCCACTTTTATTAAAGTAGAGGTGTCCTCAGAACCTACGGTAGGCCAGATATTAGGTATATATACCCAAGGCCATCAGAATAGTAAATCTGTGCTGTGTTTGGAGGAAGAGAATGTGATTTTCATGAACTACAACCTTCAGAAGAGCAGGCAAGTTACTAAAAGGCTCCTATCCAGGGATTCCAAAAAAGCCTCACTTTTTGACTCAATTTGGTTGGGCTTTCTTTCCTCTGTCATCCTCTAAGCCATCAAGTATGCTTCAAAAGTAACAAGAATTGCCTAAATGTGATTATGACCCTACTTTGAAAACACAACCATGGCCTATACTTGGCCTTAGCTTGTCTGATTGAAAACAGAGATAACCTTAGCATTTGATATGATTTAATTAGAGGTAGAAAGCCCTCATAATTTGCTGAGTCCCTGATGACCACTCCCCGCCCCCAAGAATCATCAGAATCTCTCTCTTATTTAGGGATTCTATTTAACAGTCAGAATTGTTTATAGCCGCTGAAATCTCCACAAGTATTGAAGCAAAGTATCTTTTTGTGTACCCTAGATGCCAAAGGAATAAGCCATAAACAACAGGCATATTATCTGAGCAGCCTCACACACTGTTTGGGCTCACTATTCAAAAGTGAAACTCACTGGATCTTCATACAAGTTCCATACTGAGACACATGACCTGTGAGCTACTGAAGGTAAACAAACAATACAGGTCATATCTATCGTCGACCACTTGGAAGTAACCTCAAATGCTAGTTAAAAAAATCCAGCAGTCATACAAGAGACATTTCTTACTAACAGAAAACAACAAAAACAATGTATGCCAGTCTTTAAATGCATGTGAAAGAAAAAAGCTTTACTGAAGTCTGATCTTAAAAATTCTATGTAAGGGCCTCTTGTCTTTGTTTCAAGTGTTTTAGAATCAAAATATATTATCGTTTGTTGGCCTTGGACTTAGCAAACACAAACAGGCTTATAACTCTGAGAGAAAAGAAGATTAGTTCTCAATTAAACCAGATTAAATAATTTAATCCACAAATATGTATTGAGCACCTACTACATTCCAACACTGTTCTTGGTGCTGAGAATACAAGGGTAAACAAAACAGACTGTGACATAGTATGCTTCTTATATAGGAACTCTCTTGAGAAAAAATAAAAATAATTTATTTACATCTCTTGGATTCTAATAACATGAATCCAGAATGTATTGTACTATATATACATTGGTATCATATTATTTATCATTTCATAGAAATGTGCTTTACTTGTTCATATACACAGCATAAGCTCTTTTGGAACAAACATCTCTTTATACATTTTGCATCTTCTATATCAGAGCCTCACATACGTAGGCAAGGTAATTGTTTCCGTCACATTCCTGTTGGGAAATAAGAACCTCAGCCACCATACTTGAGTGTTTCCCAACAAGAGGTAATTTTCCCAAAGGGACACCTGGAAAAGTCTGGAGAAACATTTGGTTTTTCACAACTGTGAGAATGCACAATGAATTGTCCAAATGAACATGTCAGTAGTGCCAATGTTGAGAAACCTTGAGAGTTTAAATGGGGAATTTAACATTAAGAACTACTTACAAAAGCCCTGGCTGGTGTGGCTCAGTGGGTTGAGCGTCAGCCTGTGAACCAAAGGGTCCCCAGTTCGATTCCCAGTCAGGGCACATGCCTGGGTTTTATTTATATTTGTACTTGCCATTGTGCATAGAATGGCCATGAGCTACAAATGGTACTTAAATATACAGCGAATGAAGAATGAAGGGAAATATCCCATCGTTTAAATGAAGGTTAAACAAGATGGCATACTTGAAAGCACCAGTCGCAAGGCAAAAATAATTTTTCCCTCATGCCTTACATAAGTCCAATGAGCTCAATTAAAATTTTAACATTCATTCATAATACCAGAATAAAAGTATTACTAGCTTCAAGCAGAAAATAAGACATTCCTCTTCTTTCTAACCCATGTGAATCTAAATAAGTCAAATGGCTGGCCTCTTCTCAGAGACTCTTTCATGGACATGCCAGAAACAGTCATATAATTGCTGTGGTTGGGATTCAGATGAAGAAATGTAAAGCTATATGCCCAAGGTCTGTATTTATACATTTGGAGGTAATTTTTGGCGGATGACTCACTCATCTGCCTTCCAGTCTAGGCAAAACATCTCAGCTGCCTAGGACGGATGAAGGGGATGAACAGAAGTGACTGTGGGTCTGGGCAAGGGGGAGAGACGGATAGGATGGATTTGAGGCAATCCATTCCAAAACCAACCAAACAAAAAATCCCCAAGAGTTTAAATTGATTCCTTACCCCACGGTACTGGCTTTCATTGAAAATCTGAGGAGGCAGGGGGTAGCCTGTGGCTGGTCGGCTGTTTTCAGGTACATTTTCTCTCATCCACTTCCGATTTTCTTCATTGGCAGCAATATCTTTTTCTTCAAATCCTATTTTGTTAGCTTCTAAAAAACCAAGCACATCCTGCTGTTTCTTCTTAATCTAGGGCCCAAAGCACAAGAAAATATATTGTTGAACAAACAGCTTCTGTTATTTGCCAATTCAACAAAGGTCAGTGTTTGTGAACTAAGCCAAAATAAACGTAGACATGGATCAAGACTTGGAGTTTCACAGAAGATACATGGTTTTCCCTCTTTATTATTTTGCTGTCAACAATGTCTCAGAAGTGGATTGAAGGACTGTCAGACCACAGATCCTTCTGTCAACCTTTTGCTATTTTTCCCCTGAAAATTCCCACATCTAATGATGAAAATGTAAGGCTAGCTGATGCATGTCAATAACCTAAAATGCAGTTAACTCAAAAGTATGAGTAGTGGAAAGCTTTGTTTTATAAGAGGCCCTTCTTCGTTTCGGCCCCCGTTGAAAGTCACTGCAAACAACCCAACTTGACTACCTGTCTTAACAAGCATCATGTAGTGAACAGAAATGAATCTTTCCCTGAGAATGTCACAAGCCTCAGAGTCACTCTGTCTCAATGTTCACTGTTTACAACATAAACTGAGTAAGAAGATATAAAAGCAAAGTCTGCTTGTACACTACCATATTCTTCTGTGTATAATGTGCACCCACATTTTTGGCCCAAACTTTCAGGAAAAACATCTTTCATTTTAATTTTTTAATTCAATTTTTATTTATTTGTATTTAGATATTTGTTTTTGTACTATAAAGAAATGTTTGCATTTGTTTTGGAACATACAGATATCATTATTGCTTTCTAGAGTTACTCTTTTAAAGCATAAGCATAAATAAAAGAATTAAAAACATTTATAGAGATACAGAATTAGTACTACCCATGTATAATGTGCATCCTTATTTTTCCCTCAAAAACCGGGGCAAAAAAGTGCACATTATATACGGCAAAATACGGTATGTTTGGAATACACTTGTACCACTTATTAGGCCTTAATATGCGTTGCTAAGGTATCTTTCATGTGTATCTGTGCTACTTTTCAGCTGGCTTAACAGGTAGAGATAATACGTTTATTATGTCTTCTAATTATACCTAGAAGAGATTTAAAATAGTGAAGTTAACACTTTTACTTAGGCTTCTCCTCTAATATGCACTTGTTTGAGAACCTTAATTCACACATCTATGATAATTTATCCAAATTTGAAACTCTTACTTAACATTTCTGAGGTGCAGAGCACCTAATCAGAGAAATTAAAATTTCCTCATGGAGCTACACTAAAAAGACACATAGAGTAGAATCATCAGAAACATAAAATCAAAGCAGCAGTCCTCCCAAAGGAAATAAAAATGCAAATAAAAAACTTCCATACAGTCAAGTCCTCTCTGGATTTGCACCTTCCAACACACATATGTATACACTTAGGTTGTATTTTTGCCCTTCTAATTTGCTTGTGATTTTATGCAAGTACTTCTCCCTCTCATCATATAACCCCAAAGGAAAAATTCTCAATGTCTCCCAGTAAGAAGTGAAATTTCTATAAGCTATTTTGATCAGAAGATAGAATGCCCTTCTTTCAAGACCAGTTGCCAGCACAATTTGCAACAAGATAATTTTTATTTCCTTACTAGCTTATAAAATCAAAATTTCAGTCCTAAATATAACATATACTTCCTTTTTAATTTTGAGAAAAATCAATGTAAAAGTCAAATAATCAGGAGCGAATGTCTAATGGACTAAACCAGCAATTTTCAACTGCTGTGCTGTAAGAATTTTTAAAACATGCAGTACCTGATCACTCAGTCAGGGGCACTCACCCCTTTTCCCTTAGATTGTGAAACAAACAAACAAAAAATAACAGCCAACAGAACAATAGTTGTCCAGTGTGAATTAATCAAAATCGTATCTATTTTTTGGTCAGATTGTCAAAAAACATGTATTTTTGGTGTGCCACAGAATTTTAGTAATTATTTTATGTGTGCCATAAGATGAAAAAGGTTCAAAATCGCTGGACTGGACACTCGATAGAGGGTTCCAATCTTTGATAATATAGGGAGTATTCAGTTACTGTGAAATTTATCAAGTAATTTGTCAAGCATTTGTTATTTACAAAATTTAAGTAAATATAAGGATGCCTTATAAATATGACAATTTCAGGCACCTGCCATTCCAACAGGTATTTTTGAATGAATGCAGAGATAACGTTTAGCTAACGTGCTAATAATTGTATGTGGCTCTGAATGACTCTTTGAAGTCTTCCCACCCCACTGCATGCATTCTATGTTGAGAGCACATTCATTGTGTTAAGATGGTGGCCACGCCTAGTATCTCTGGGAAGTACAGTATCCAACCTTCACTGATCTCTTTACCCTCCAGCCATCATCTCTGGACCATAAGTACTTCTCGCATGTTCTGGAACTACCCACCTATAAGTACACATGCATCCTATAGTGCCCTATATTTCCACAAGGCTGAAGAGAATGGGCCATAACAACACTTTTTAGTAGGTTCTGCCCTGTAAAACAAGAACATTTCTTCAGCTTTGAATCTTCAGGGAACATAAAAGAAAAGCTTCCTAACTCAATCATATCTGTAGGACACAAATTTCACATATCAAGTTTATTTCCAACATGGGGTATTTTCCATCTAGAGAGTTATTGCTTTTCTTATAATACAAGCACAAATTCACTACCACACATCCTGATAAAGGGGCTTCAGGTGATGCTAATTTTGTAATTCCCCAGTGAGGCTTAAAGGGACACAATAAACACATGTGACTGAAAATCATACATTGCAAGAATAATTAAGAATGGGTGTTACAAGAGTTCACTGAGGAATATAATTTCCTACAGGAAAAATATTCTTGTGTTAAAAGGTTATTGATGTTATTGATGTCCACATGCCAAGGTTGGAAGTTCAAGGTATCTTTTCCTCCAAAGACCGGTGGAGCAGGGTTACTGTGAAACTGTATGCTTATCCGCAGCTAACCTTAGAAAGTTTCTTGTCTGTTTCTCTTAAAGGGTAAAGTTTCTTTTAAAGAAAGGAAACTGACAAGGCATCTGCTTTAGAAGGGGCCAGTATACATGTTCAAACTTCAAAAGAAAAACGATACTTCAGTTACTATGCTTCAAGTGGGAAAACAAGAGTCTTTTTCATGAAAGTGTGAACCTACCATAAAACTTTTAATGAAGGTAGGGTTTTTGTCTTGTTTTATAATTAACCTGTGTCACATTGTCTCAGCTGATGCTTTAATGAACATTGACAAGTGGTTCCAACTCTACTGCACTAAAATCTAAAAGGATTACCCAAAATTCTATTTAGTAGCCATTTCAACAGTATTTCTTGGGTGCCTGTTACACGTGTAAAAACTTTATTTTAGGTTCTCTAAAAAGCCTAAAGAAAGATAGCAGAGATTCCCATGCAGGATTACAGTCTAGGGGAAAGGATTAGACATATATTTTAAAAGTGCAATTATAACACTGTTTAAATATGAAGCCAAGACAACTAGTTATCCATACAAGGCAGTTAGGTGAGAAGGGCCTACTGAAAGTCAAAGCCAATGAGTGCAACTTAGAAGAGAAAGCAAGCGCTCATTGCTATTATGTATGCCACTTAGACAAAGATTAGTAATGACAGCACAAATGCTACATACGGCATCCATAAATTCAATTTTTAAAAGATTTATTTATTTACTTTTAGAGAGAAAGGAAGAGAGGGAGAAAGAGAGAACATTATTGATGTGCAATGTGTTGCCTCTTGCGCGCCCCCTACTGGGGACCTGGCTCACAACCCAGGCCTGTGCCCTGACTGGGAATCAAACTGGCAACCGTTTGGCTCGTAGGCCAGCACTCAGTCCACCAAGCCACACCACCCAGGGCTCAATTTTTTGTTTTCGTGAAAGGACGAAGTAAAGTTGAACATAACTGGCCATCTGTGAAAACTGAACTAACAGACGGGGTAGCCTATTGCACTAGAGCAATGAAGGTATACTAGTTCAAAACAAACTTGGAAACTTTCTAAATGGATGCTCACGATTTCTATGACTAAATTCTTACACACAATTAAGACCTGTTAGCGAATAAACAATCGTCTGGGTGTGTATTTTGTCATTTTCAACAGGTTATATAATCTGTTACCTAGTCAACTTCTGCAAAGACAAATTCAGATACACAGATTCCCTCCCACTGGTTCTGTTTATTTCAAATGCTACCTGCTAAGAAAGGCCACTCTACTTTATAGGAAAATAATAAGCCTGTTTTGGCCTAACCCAGGCCTAAGGATTTAACAGTGGGGTAAAGGAGAGTGAATAAGTAGCATTTAAAGCTGCTTTTTTATTCTTTTTCTAATCTACTTACAAAACGTATCTAAAAGGTAAATCAAATCTATATCCGCAGTCAGTCTGTTTGGCACTGCACCTCTGCAGCGGGGCCCCCAGTGTAGTCCTCGGGTGACCAAAGCGATCTCTGTGTGTTTTTAAATGAATGCCGTTTTGAGTCTTGCAGCCACTGGCTTCCTATTGCTTAATCCAATGGCACAACCACAGCAAGAGACTCTTGTTTTCAACTTGTCTGTTTTGCAATATTTTCAAAAATGCTTTGATCACAATCAGCCATGTACAACTTCTAATTCACAGCTCTTTACTGGCAAGTCTGCAACAAATTTGGGTTAAGATAACTATTAAGAATTTTCTTTGAAGGCCAGGGTGGGGGGTCGGGAGGTGTGTGAGAGATGGGGAGCATCTCTAACAGTGTCAACAATAAAAAGATTTTTGTTCTTGTTCTCCCATCTCTACCTACAGCTTCCTAGGCTTCCCTTCTCACAGATGTCCCAAGATGTAGCAGCAAAAGAGCACAGCCTAAGATTTGCTATTTTCTTGCTGCCAAAAGAAAAAAAAAATCTACTGTTATTATTTCCTTTTTAGTTGCAATTCTAACCATGCCTAAAGAGATGTTAAGGCCCAAGTAATTTCAAAAGTAGAGCCTGATATGAAAAGAGGAGGAATTAGATATTGATGGTAGTTGCTCAAAAATAGCTGTCTTCACATGGTGACAGTAAAGAAAATCAAGTCATGCC